AATCACCTGAGTACGATGACGTAATCCTATGAGTACGATGACGCAACGCCCCGAGTACAATGATTTTAGTGATTGAGTTTGATATCTTATTCCATTGAGTGTATGAGGACTTAACCCCCTGAGTATGAATACTTTACCCACAGAGTACAATAAATGAGTGTCAAGTACGACATTTAAAGCCCTTGAGTACTGAAGGAAATTTCTCACCATACTCAAAAGATAAAGGTATCTTACTCTATAGGCTAATTCATTATACTGTACTCAGGGGGTTAAGTCATCATACTCGAGAAGTTGATTAGGGTACGATCACGTGTGTGGTGCCCTTATTATAGAATGGATATCAATTCACTGGAATCGGTGCACCGAAGAACGACGAAAATGATTCCGGGACTAAGAAACCTTCCATATTAAGATAGATTAAAGAAACTAAACTTGCATTCCCTAGAAAGACGAAGAGTGCGGGGAGATATGATAGAAGTATTTAAGTGGGTGAAAGGAATCAATAAAGGAGATATAGATTATATATCAGGATAGGACTGGTAGCAACGGATATAAGTTGGATAAGTTTAGATTTAAGAGAGAGATAGGAAGGGACTGGTTCACAAATAGGGTGGTAGACGAGTGGAACAAGCTTAGCAACTTTGTAGTAAGTGCTGGAACGCTGGAACGTTTTAAAGGGAGGCTAGATAGATTCATGGACTATGGAGAGTGGTAGTAACTCTCGACAGGAGCTGCCGTGCACAGGCCAATCTGCCTATTGCAGACTCCTTATGTGTGTGTGTGTGTGTGTGTGTGTGTGTGTGTGTGTGACCTTGCAGACCTTCGCTAGTAATGCTGCCGTAGGCAATCTTTCTTCTATTACAGTATAATCCCAGAGGGTCACCACCGATAGGAGGTGGTGGTGATAACATAAGAATGGAAGAAACTGCAGCGGGCCTATTGGCCCATGCTGGGCAGTCCTATTTACACCCAACCTCTATCGCTTATATATCCATCCAACCTAAGTTTGAAGCTATCTCGCGCCTAAATCTAAATTTGTCTAATTTAAAGCCATTGTTACGAGTTCGCTCCTGGTTGGATAGTTTGAGTACCTTTGTCATATCACCTTTGTTTACCCGACTTCCATTTATACACCTATTATAACGCCCCTCACTCTACGTCTCTCGATGGAGTGCAAATTAAGATGCTTTAACCTGTTTCTGTACTCAAGGTTCCTAATGCCCGTGATTAGTCTTGTCATTCTCCTCTGAATTCTTTCTAGGGAATCTATATCCATTCTGTAATACGGTGGCCAGTATTGAACTGCGTAATCCAAGTGACGTCTCACAAACGTAAGATATAGTTTTAGGATGACCTCTCTAGTCTTGTAACTAATACTCCTTTGTATGAACCCAAGTACTTTTTTAGCCTTGTTTCGAGCAAATGCACATTGTTTACTTGGCTTAAGATTCCTACTTATCATTACTCCTAAATCTTTCTCACATTCGGATTTCTCTATAACATCGTTGTTCAACTGATATCTGGTTTCTCTGTTTACATCTCCTAGACTAACTACTTTTCATTTGTCCACATTTAATTTCATCTGCCATTTTTCAGACCATTCGAAAAATTTGTTTAGATCTTCCTGTAATCTTGCGGAGTCCTCGTCAGATTTAATTATACGCCCTATTTTAGTGTCATCAGCAAATTTACTTATGGTGCTGTCTACGCTGATATCTATGTCGTTTATGTATATAATAAATAATAATGGTCCAAGTACTGAGCCTTGGGGTACTCCACTAGTGACGTTACTCCAATCGCATTTAGTGCCGTTAATGCTCACTAGCTGTTTCCTGTCCTGTAACCATGTACCAATCCATTTTAGAATATCTCCTCCAATGCCATGAGCTTCCCACTTTTCTTATTAGTCTTTCGTGTGGGACTGTCGAAGGCTTTGCTAAAGTCAAGATATACCACATCGTAGTCGTGCCCCTCGTCCACTGATTCGAAAACAGATGAAAAGATTGTTAATAAGTTAGTTAGACATGAACTCCCGCCTGTGAAGCCATGTTGGGAATCATTGAATAACTTGTGTTTCTGCAGGTGATTTCGAATAGAGTTTGAAATTATTGCTTCCAGTAATTTGCCTACAATTGGTGTTAAGCTGATTGGACGGTAGTTAGAGGATAGTGATCTGTCTCCCTTCTTGAAAATCGGTATTACATTCGTTATCCTCCAGGATTCTGGTACTACATCTGTTTTTAAGGACATGTTAAACAATATTGCTAAGGGTATACTAAGCTCTTCCTTACATTCCTTTAATACTCTGGCAAATATCTCATCAGGACCTGGTGACTTATTAGGCTTTAGTTTGTTTATTTGCTTACTAACATCGTTACTAGTCACTACTATCTCGCTTAATCTATTTTCTTCACTGTCTCTATATAGTTGGTGCCTCGGGTATCATGTTTAAATTTTCGGTGGTGAAAACTGTTGAAAAATTTTTATTCAGATTATTGCTCTTTCTCCGTTGTTATCAGTTAGCTCGCCTGTGTGTGACTGTATTGGTCCAATCTTTTCTCGTGTTTTAGTTTGATACATTTTAAAGAATCCCTTGGGGTTTGACTTCGCCTCCCTTGCTACCCTCAGTTCATTATTTCTCTTTGCTTTTCTTATCTCGGTCTTAACCCTACTGGCCAATACCTTATAATAATCTCGGAGGTAAACTTCACCACGATTTATTCTCCTACCTACAGCCTTCCTTTGTCCAATAATATTCTTTCAATAATTATATATCCATTTAGGGTCATTGTTGTTTCATCTGAATTTTCTGTATGGTATGGTCTGCCTTTGTGCATTAATTAACTCTTTATTTAAATTGTTGTGGAACTCGTCAACCTCAGATCTCGTGATCAGGTCATCTTCAACCGGCATATTTTGTGAGGATATCGTTGTCAGGTCTCCAGGTAAAGTGAGGTCTCCCTCTGTGGGTACATTGTGTGAGGTCATGTAATCCATCCCCAAATGTGATACCCCTTCTCTCAGCTGCCTTTTTAACCTATCAAAGTTTGCCCTACTGAAATCTGGGACTTCAATTCAATTTTCAATTTCAATTGTTTATTCCTTGATAGAGGAAGCGGGATCCTAGTGCTGTCACTAGGTACCCCTGTACAATGACACCAGAAGCATCTGGCAAGTGTGATGACAAGTATATACAGTATAAATATTATAAAGGGCTTACTAAAGCCTAAGGAAGGAAGGATATTCCTTTAACACATAATCAATATTATTTACAAAATATCTTGCCAATATGGGGAGGATCATCGTGTCTCCGTCAGGGGGTCGTGGAGTGGTGGTCCAGCAGGCGTCACGGAAGCGTTGTGTGTGGGATCTGGGACTTTGATGGAATTTCCCTTGCGACTGCCATTAAATTTCAATTTAAATCTTATTTATTTGTGATCGTTGTTGGCAAGTTCGTTTCCTATCTCGACATTACTAATGAGGTTTTCTCTGTTTGACAGAACTAAATCGAGTGTATTATTACCCCGGGTGGGTTCGGTTATATGTTGACTTAGGAAACAGTCCTGAACTGTTTCAAGAAAACATCTGATTCTGAGTTACCTGTAAGGTCGATCCAATCTATTTGGCTAAAGTTAAAGTCGCCTGCTATACAGACATTGCTATGCCTGGAAGCCCTGCGCATTTCATCCCAAATAAGTCACTCATTAACTCTTATCACGATTAGGAGATCTATAAATTACTCCTGCAATTAATTTTTCCCAACCATCGATTAATTCTATCCAAATTGTTTCTGTATTCAGTTCAGTTTTTATTTTCTTATTTATTTCACACTTCAGATTATCCCTGACGTATATTGCTACTCTGCCTCCTTTCCTAATTTGCCTAACGGTATGGAATAATTTGTAACCTGCAATTTGGTATTCGACAAGTAACTCTCGTGAGTAAGTTTATCCATGTTTCGGTGAATACTATTATATCTATTTTTTCGGTACATACCAACGCCCTAATTTCATCCATTTTGTTTCTCATACTCCTACTGTTTGCGTAGTAGATATAGTCGTGTTCTGAGTCCTAAGTGATGGTGATGGTGGGAGTGATGGTGGTAGTGGTGGTGATGGTGGTAGTGGTGGTGATGGTGGTAGTGGTGGTGATGGTGGTGGTGATGGGTTTACTGGGGTACGGAAAACAGTAAAAGAAAAGAGGTAAAGGAAACACAAGTCAATAATTCAGTAGATGACACACACACACACACACACACACACACACACACACACACACACACACACAGAAAATAATACCAATGTGACAATAATTATTCCATGAGTAAATATTATTACGCCAGTGATTATTATCGAAGTCATTCTTACCATCTCTTAGGCGGGTTATCCAGGCCCCTTATGACGTTCTTTCCCCTCGAGGTTCTTCCTGTAAAGCGCGCGCGCGCGCGCACACACACACACACACACACACACACACACACACACACACACGGACGGAGAGAGACAACTGTTTTAACATAATTGTGGATGCTAAATCTAATATAAACTTTATATCTATGTGACCTAAATAAAAACGATAATTATCGATATCAGTAAATACCGAAAATCACTTCAGTTAGTGGTAATAATGTTTAATTTTTCTATCTACCTTCACAGTGGTAACAATCCTCAAATTATAATCCAATAACCCGCAGCAACAGGTTGAGTATATGGAGGTTCAAAAACTTGTTGAAATGTTTAACTCAAGGACGCGGATATTTTGTGCTTTATTGTGGGTATTGTTAAGAAGTGTTCGTCCGTGGTCGTCTGGACTAAGGGATCGTGTGAGGTGGGCTTGTGCGTGTGTGTGTCCGTGGGCGTCTGAGTTGAAGAATGGCATGTGTGTGGGCGTGGGGTACGGGGAGAGGGAGGTTGTAGGCGTGTGCGTGTAAGAGCGCGCGTTGAGCAGAGGTCGAAGGAAGCAGCTGTTGGGAGGAAAAGCCTGCCACAGTCTGCCAGCGACCGTCGCTCTGCTCACACCGCCGCGCCTTCCAGCGCTTTAAACCCCCCTAGCCCCCTCCACGCCCTCTCAGTCGACACGCACGCCATCGACAGGTGGTACACACACAAATATACCTTTCGTCCTGCAACAAGCTGTACACACACGCTCACCATACACAAAAACTGGTTCACACGCCTTCTACAAGTGATACACACACACACACTTCAAATTGTATACACAAGCATGTCAAGTTGAACACAAGGCCTCCTCTGGTCATGTGCAGGTGACCATCCACAGGTGGTGCGTGCAGACACACACATGTCCTTTAATGTAGTACACACGCACAAGCATCTTCGAGGGATATATACACACAAGCCTACCCTCTACTAGTGGCACACACACACACACACACACACACACACACACACACACATAACCAAACTTGTGGTGACGACGACGCGTCTCAAGTGTTTGTTAATGTGTTTATCGAAGAACAGATTTGTATATAAATAGTAACCCAAGTCAAGCATCCCTTCGCTACCAGACAGTTTCTGAGAAGAGCCTTCCTAAATCAGTGTGTGAAGGTGGAGGAAAGTTGAAAGCGGACGACGGTAGACACTTAGGTGGTTCCATTTCAAATAACAGACAAGAATAATTCTGACTAAAACGTTCTACACAGTGTGACTCTTTTTAAGTGGTTCTTTTAGGGTGAACAAACAAGGACAGTTATAAAGTGAAAATGTAGACAGTGTAACAACAATACCTGAATGGTTCCTTTAAGATTAACAGAAAAGAACTTATGACTCAGAGTGTCATCCTCAAGAAGAACAGGCAAGAACATTTATAACCGAGCGTAGCTAAACAGTGAGACATTGCCCGAGTGTTTCCTTGAAGACAAAGAGACACGAGCAGCTAAAAGTTGAATTTATCTGCACTGTGAGACATAAACACGATTAGCTCCGTTGAGATACACAGACGTTATTATATTCCCGTCTTATCAGGGAAGTGGCTTCAGAAGTAATCCAGGTATTTTAAGAAACCTGACCGTGTTTCCCGGAGGTAAACAATACCTTTTTGTTTATCGAGAACAGGGCGGTAAGCACTCGTCCCTACAGAGTGTTGTCATACTGATCGTGAGAGACATATTATTAATACAAGGGTTACTGTATAAAGTAGTTCATTTATTTAGCACTTGAATATCACCCACTAGCTTATTTCACCTGAAGATTAATCACCCTAAACCTAACCTAATCCCCAAGGTAGCGTGAGGGTGTTTAATCATCAGGTGATGTAAGTTGGGGACTAATCTTCAGGTGATCCTTTTAATAGGGATATGATAAAAAATATTGATTACGGCAGCTATATCTGAGATAAGACGCAAGGTAAGGAGGGGAGGAGGGGGGAAGAAAGAGGAGGGAAAGGGTAAGAGGGGGATGTTAATGAAGGAAGGACGAATATAATAGATGGAGGAGGAAATGCGAATGAAGGGAAAAGGAGGAGGAATAGTAGAAGGAGAAAGAAGGGACGTTAATAGAGGGAAGATATGAAGAGGATGAGGAAAATGAGAAAATGTTCAGATAGAGAGGGAGATGGAAAGAGGAGGAGAATAAGTTAGCAAAGTTAATGTAAACAAGATGGGGTGGGGGGTGTAAAGAGAGAGAGAGTAATCAGGTGAGGGAAGGAGAGTGGGGGGTGTAAAGAGAGAGAGAGTAATCAGGTGAGGGAAGGAGAGTGGGAGGGGGGTGTAAAGAGAGAGAGAGTAATCAGGTGAGGGAAGGAGGGGGGGCACTGCTAAGCTAGTAAGAAGAATATAATGGTGAGAGGTGAGAAAAAGGTAATAGTAGGTCAAGGAGAGGGTAGAAGAGGAGTGGGGCTGGGAAAGGAGAAGAGGAGTGGGAGGGAGAAGGGAGACGAAGAGGGGTGGGGAGAGGGAGAGGAGAAGAAGAGTGGGCGGGGAGAGGGGAGAAGAAGAGTTGGGAGGGGAGAAGGGAGACGAAGAGGGTGGGGGACAGGGGGGAGAAGAAGAGTGGGGCGGGGAGAAGAAGAGTTGGGTGGGGAGAGGGAGAAGAAGAGTGGGGGGGAGAGGGAGAAGAAGAGAGGGGAGAGGGAGAAGAAGAAGAGTTGGGTGGGGAGAGGAGAGGGAGAAGAAGAGTTGGGTGGGGAGAGGGGAGAAGAAAAGGAGTAGGGTAGAGAAGGGGAGAAGAAGGAGGGTGGGGGAGAAAAGGCACAGTGGGTCAGGGGTGACGGGAGAAGTGGGGAGGAAGAGGAGGGGGCAAGGGGAGGGAAGAAGAGGGGTGGAGCGAGAAGAGAGGAGAGGAGTGGGGAGGGAGATGGGAGGATGAGGCAGAGGGGAGGAAAAGAGGAGTAGGGCGGGGAGATGGAGAAGAAAGGGAGTAGGGTAGAGAAGGGGAGAAGAAGATGAGTGGGGAAGGGGAGAAGAAGATGAGTAGGGCGGGAAGGAGGAGAAAATATAATAGTGAGTGCGGGAGAGAGGGAGAAGAGCAATGAATCATGGTGAAGCTGGCTGGCTGGGGTGGGGGTGAGGTGAGGTGGGGGAAAGGGAGACACATAACTGGGGTAGAGAGGGAGAGAGGAAATGGGTTAGTGGAATGGTGAGAGGGGTTAGAGGAACGGGAGAGAGGGAAAGCAAGGTTGCGGTTAGGGAGAAAGGATAAGGGGGGAGGGAGGGACGAGGTAGGGAACAGGGGGGGGAGTAAAGAGGGAGTGAGGGATGACAGAAAGAAGAGGGAGGGAAAGGAGGGTGGAGAAAGGAAAAGAAGGGAAGGGAAGGGAAGGAAGGGAGGGAGGAAAGGAAGGAAGGGAGAGGAGGCTGGCCTAGTTGTAATTTCTGGAATCGCTGAAGCAGAAGATTCCATGAATGAAGGACTATTAAATTGTTACTGAGTGCGCACGGGCGTTTTTTTGTATGTGCTCGCTCGCGCGCTAAGAATTACACGTTAGTTTGAGTCACTCGCTTCAAAACCGAAGATAGCGTTAGTTCTGATAGTGACAGAGGCACCAAGAATCACACTTCGTGCTAAGATTCGCCTATTATTTTAGTGTTAAGACCGATATACAGTGTATATTAAAGCCGCCAAAACTCATAATTCTCTCTCTCTCTCTCTCTCTCTCTCTCTCTCTCTCCCTCTTTCTCTCTCTCTCAATAAGGCGTGTAATTACATCTGACGAGGACTCGGCAAAACTACAGGAAGATCTAAACAGTTAAATTTTTTCGCATGGTCTAGAAAATGGCAGAAGAAATTTAATGTGGACTGTAAAGTACTTAGTCTAGGTCCTCCAGGAGATGTAAACAGAGAAACCAGATATCAGATGAACAACGTTGATATAGAGAAATCCGACTGTAAGAAAGATTTATGGTTCTGCTAAGTAAGGAATCTTAAACCAAGACAACAGTACTTGTTTGATCGAAACAAGGCTAACAAAGTACTTGGGTTCATACAAAGGAGTGTCAGGTACAAGACTAGCGAGGTTATCCTAAAACTATATCTTGTGTTTGTGAGACATCACTTGGATTATGAAGTTCAGTTTTGGTCACCATACTACAAAATGGATATCGAATCCTTAGAAAGCATTCAGACCATGACCAGACTAATCCCGGGCATTAGGAACCTTGAGTATAGAGACAGATTAAAGCATCTTAATTTACACTCCCTCGAGAGACATAGAGTGACGGGCGATATGATCTATGTGTATAAATGAAAGTCAGGGTTAAACAATGGTGATACAACAAAGGTACTTAAATCATCCAACCAGGAACAAACTCGTAGCAATGGTTTTAAATTAGACAAATTTAGATTTAGGCGTGAGATAGGTAAACACTCCAATTTGTCGAGAACAACACATGAGGAGTAAAATTAGTTCTTACGGATATGGCTGTTCGTTACGCCCTTTTTACCATTACTTATTGCGAATCACCCGAGGATTAGACACCTCATCTTATTTCACCTTATAAAATTAACCACCCTAACATTAACAAGAGGGTTAATCTTCTGATAAAATAAGCTGGGGTGTTTAATATTAAGGCAAAACAAACTAGGATGTCTACTCTTTAAGTGATCCGATGATCTTTCTCAACCATAAGTCATAATCTTGGGCGGCAACTATAACACCTTCACTGTCTTATAACACTTGAAAATTACTAATAAAATGAAGCATGTTGCGCTCAGCCTCTTATCTATAATATAAAAATTACAATGTGAGAGAAAAAGCGAAAAATCCCTCGCGATATCAGTTAATGTCTATAGCTTTCCAATTTTTATTATTACGTGTTGTGTTATTTTACCTCAATATAATATAAGGATAGCCTGAACATTAAACACACTACTTTATTTGACCTGAAGAATAGATCCCCAAGTTTAATGAATATGAAGATTTAACTACACTAACGTAAGCCTAACCTAATTTAACGTAAGCCTAACCTAACTTAACGTAGGCCTAACCTATTTTTACCTATCCTAACCTAACTTAACGTAAGCCTATCCTAACTTAACGTAGGCCTAACCTATCCTAACCTACACTAACGCTAGCTTAACTTATCCTAACCTACCTAATTAAACCTAACTTAACTTAACCTAACTTAACCTAACCTAACTAAATCTAACCTAAATTAACCAGACCTAACGTAACCAACCTTAACCTAGCCTAACCTAACCAATCTTAATTCAACCGAACTTAAACTATCCCCCGGTAGCATTTAGGTGGTTAATCATCAAGTGAAAAATGTTAGATGGGTTAACATTCAGGTGTGCCGAAAAGACTTCATGTTACCTGAGAGTTAATCCCCAGAATAACATGCGATTATAAAGGGTGAATGTAGGTTAACAGCACAGAGAATCACCCTGACCTACATAGTGCTGTGACCTAACCATTTGGGAGATGATGGTATGTATGTATGTATGAGTTTGTGTGTACTATTTTGTACAAATGTCAATCTTTTGTGAGTATGTGTATGTCTATGTGGCGACCTGTGGTGTAATGGTCAGCATTTTTGCCTCGCAAGCGAGCGGACCCGGGTTCGATTCCCGGGCAGGGTAAAACTATGGGCAAGTTTCTTTACGCCATTTGCCTCTGTCTACCCAGCAGTAATTGGGAACCT